AAACAAAGAAAAGGGGAGGGGGGGGGGGGGGAGGGAGAGAGAATAAGAAAGGCAGGATATAGGGAGCTTTCTCTTCCTCCTGCTCTCTTGAAATTAAGTTGTCAGTTTTGGAAATTCTGGTTACAAAATAGGAGAGTGTTCCTGTTTCTGTAATAATCCACAGGACAAACAGAGTTTGTCAAATCTTCAAGGAAAAATCCCACAGCAACATTAAATCCACAAGGATTGGAAAATAAACAAGGAAACAGAAGTACATATAGAAAAAATAAAAGCGACAGGAACTCTGCCAGGACCTAGATCAAGCATGGTAAGGTGGGAGAAGAAACCATTTAGCCTGAACACTGAACTATGTTTCTGGAAATTATTTCAATACATTAAAATGGAATTAGCATTAATCATTCTTAGTGACAAAGTAAGACAGGAGTCCTCCCTTGTACTATATGCTGTAACACAGTGCTGGCAAAACAAACCCTTAAAGAAGCGTTGAGGAAGAACTGAGAGCGTACATTTGTTTTTTTCTTATGCATCTTCACTTGGGTATCTCAACCGAAGTACTGCAAGCAGAGTCCTGTAGGAACTCCCTTTTTTTTAAATAAACTGACATTTTTGTTCAGAGTCTGACAAATTTTAATTCATACTGCAGGACAGAGTTTTTTCTTTTCTGTTTTGACACAAAATCTTCCCCACACATCCAGGCTGAGTGCTACACAAGCATTTACTAAACAGCACAGGCACCTGAACTTAAACAAGGATTCTCCTTCAAATAAAATAAGGTGGGTAAGTATAGTACCTTCTTCTTCTACAGAAACACTGCGTATTATGACAGGGCTGGAGTACGCTGGGAGTATCAAAGGTAAATTAGATGGGACAGCATAGCCACAGGGGACAGGAACAGAATATCCACCGGACAAGTTCGGACATGCACATTCCTCTTGAGGACTGGGTTCCGGAGATGAGGATGGATCTTTGTCTTGTATTGGTGAAATATTTATGACCGAGTAGGGATTGACTTTGGCTGGAGTGCCTTCTGCAACAGGTTCTGATGTTCGCAGTTTCTCACTGTTCTCTAAATTATCAGCCCCTTTAGTTGAAAAAAATCACATAAAAAAAATAATTTTTCATACCTGCTTAAGCTGCTTAATATTGCTCTTTGCAAATACCCTAAACACTGATATGATCCTTCCTATAGAAGTTGCTTTCAATAGGCAGACTCATAGAATTCCCACACAGTAGGGCTATGCTCCCCATTTTAAATAAGGAATGCAAGAGCAGGTAAACGAGTTGGGTTACAAGCATGCCTATGGAAAAACAGTAACTGGTTTCTGAATCTTGAATAGGAAGATTTCTGACAACTTGTCAAGGTCCTCTTGTGTTTATCATAAGCACAAAGCTCAAAACAGCCTTAAACCCTGAAGGTTAAAATCTGGATTCTAGATTAACTTGGATCTTACAAACACAAATACAAGAAACATTTTAGGAATAGCCATGAAGAGAGAACAATTTCACTAGAGAGACGCTCCTCAAAGAACAGGCCTGAAAATTCTCTGTTAAGAAAAGGGGAAAAAAAATAATTTTCCAGGTTTTCCACTTGGAAAATAAAGTTTCTGGTATTTCTTGAGACAAGCTGAGGTACAGCAGAACCAAAGGCCCCTCTGAAGCGAACTGCAGAATTGCATCCCAAGTGATCAAAGTTTTTGAGCTGTAAGTACAACTGCATAAAAGGGCAACAAAATTTCATGGAAAGGTGGTATTTAAGTTCCAGACAAACTGCATAGTCACCTGAAGAGTTATCTTTAACTGTCATGAGCACAAATGACTCTGCTTGCGAAAGGAAGTTGGATCAGTCAGCAAAAACAGGATGTAGTCAATTTGAGCAGAATACAGCAATTTCCAGACTACACCTGAGCACTGAGAACATCTGCATGTATTGTGAGAAATATTTTAATAAAATAAGACTTCAGCTTATGAACAAAAATCATACATTCAGACTCCATTTATTTCTATGTATGTCATCTTAAGATCAGCAACCAGCAAGCTTAGCTGTGAAAGCAGCTTATCTTGAGCCATCCCTATGACATTAGAGCTGCAAGGGCATGAAGTTTTTTCCTGTAGCATGACACTGTGACTGAGACCAATCCATTCGCTCATATGTCACATTTGGATGGGAAACCTCACAGGAATTGCATGTGATGGTCATTTGCCTTGTCAAATCTACTACGAGTGTAACCAGCGGGAATATTCAAGAACACTTGTATGGTATCTCCATGGAAACCTCTTCTTACAAGTAATTTTACTGCATTGTCAAGAAAAGGCATCCTATAATCAGTCTTGACTGTTTAGCCTAATGAAGGCACAGCCTAACAGGCTGACTTACCTGTGGCATTAGCCTCTTGGTGCTCTATGTTATTTCCAGGACCAGCAGGAGGTGGCAAAAGGGCTTGCCTGTCTGCTTCTGGTATCTCATCTCCACTGTCGAAGTCAAACTGCTCTCCCTCATCCTCCTCTTCAGCATTTGTACCCTCAACTTTTGGTTCATGCTCTAGAACTGTGCAAAAAGGTACGCTGTCGGTTGTTTGCTCTTAATAATGATTTCATGGGACCAGTAAGCGTTCCACATTACAAATGAAGCTTATACAATGAGCCCTTCGATTTTCAGGTTACTGGAACAGAACAAAAGCTCCTTGACATGTTGATAACCTCATACAGCTTTCAATAAAACCCTTAGTGTAAACAATTAAATGACTTGGAAAACAATTCAGAAGTGATAATGCAAATACACTTGCTTTTGCCATAATGAACCAAAAGCAAAACACTTCTAGAAAAACACTTAAGTAGCTGATTCCTTAAACAAGAAAAGTTCACAGATCAATTTATTTGTACAGGGACTTTGAGACTTTATACTTCACGTCATTTTTCCTTTCCAACTCAAACTTCAAAGTCCGTTATTTCTTAACAGTGTCAAAATTACAGTAACAGTAACTTTCTTCATACACATCATGAGACACCAGCAGATTGGTTTTCCTGCTCCAATCTGAGACAGTTTTAAACCTTACGCAATATGCCATTAACCCTATGACCACATGCAAGGTGTGCTTTGCTGGAGGTAAGGGGATTGATTTTTGCAGTTCTTACCTTTGAAGAAGTAAAGGCTGAAATAATTACACCCAAATACTGTACAAGAAGTGGGAATCTGGAGGGGGTTTTGTCTTTGCTTTTGAAGACCCTGCAGCACAGATTTGCCACTGTAAACTGCTGGGGAGCAGGATGTAGTGCTGGGCAGTTCCCCTCTGTGCTACTGTTCTTAACCACAGGAGCCTGAAGAACCATGAAGATTTAAACCCCCTCACTGCCTTACCTACCACAGTTTTTGCCATGCGTTCACAACACAAGAAGCCTGCTCACAACATCCAAAGCTTCTGTCAGAGACACTGCACAGAGGAGGCATAGGCAGACAAGCTGCAAGGAGGGATGCCCAAACCCACCAGCCTCCTCCCTGCTTCCAGAAGCCTTCACTGCAGCTCCCAAGCGCAAAAGGATTTCATCCATCTCTCCCTCCTTAGACCTGCCTAGCCGCTTCTCCTACCTTCTGGAGGAGAAACTCTTACCAGGTGTCCCTGTAAGGCAGAAACATCATCTAAGGAAATTTTTTGGTCCAGCTGACCTTCCTCTCAAGCTCTTCCTCAAACCCATGATTGATACTTAACTTTTACATGGGTGTTAAACAATGTATTTAAAGTGTTAGAAAAAACCACACAACCGTAGCATAAAAATATGTATTAAAATACATATGTAAATACACCAATAAGTTACAAAAACATACATGAAGTTGACAGTGTTCCCCCCACCCCTCTTCATGCAGCAAAATATGAAAAACAATGTCTTGGAAGGACAACTGGGTCTCCTAAGTCATGATGATATTATCAGCTATTCTACCATCCAGGACACGTTTTGTATCTTTGTGATAAAACCCACACAAACCACAGCTCTAGGCTGCTTAGAGTTTCATGGTAATCAGCATCCCTGCCAAGGCTTCTGTTTCTTCAGGCAGGCTGAGCCAGCATATTTTATCACAGCCACGAATAACAAGATCTTTCATGCAGCCTCTCTGCAGGAGAAAAAGTGAACTAATTGCAAAAATACTAAGGAACAAAAAAGGGGTTATCCTACATTTATTGTCATGTTTTATGGCTGAGGCAGCAGGACATTTAATTAAATTTTAATGCTTTTTAAAAATCCTTCTGTACAAAGTCAGCCTTTGGATTAAGGCTTTTCATTTTTGCTTTTGTCCAGCAGCAAATTTTTTTTTCCTGAAAGATGCAAAAAAATCCTGCAGAGCTCTTCCAAGTGATTCAAGACAATCACAGCATTCTTCCCGATTCAGAATCCATCTGACTAGATTGTACTACTTGCTGCTTGACAGTAATGGGAAAAAGAAAGAAAAAGGGGGTGGTGGTGTTGGTTTATTACTGTTGGTTTGTTTGTTTTCAATTACTTTGTTTTCAGTATGTCTGCATACTTCAAATTTGGAAAATGCAAACCTGTGATATACTAAGTAAAGTGCTTTTTGTGATTACCAGCGTGTGAAATGTTGGTTACTCATGCAGACAGGGCACATAAGTAGGTAGATGGCAGTCACAAGAAAGTAACAGCCACAAACCCACAACTTTCCAGGTATATGCACTGCTATCTGCCACTCCTCTCACTGTACTAAATAAGTGAGCCATGGCATCAACCACTTCAAATACATAAAGTAGCACTGTCTGCACTTCGTATGGTGGGAGGAGGGGGAAGATGAGGTTACCGGAATGAGCTGATTATTTCTGCAGGATTAGGCCACTCGGGATGCTGGAGCCGTGCTGGAGCAAGGCTCAGCTGAGAACCATGAACCCACTGGAGGTGAATTTTAGACATCAGCAAAAGAAAAAGCATGTATACTTCAAACATTTGAGCCACTCAGGGAAAAACTGCAGGAGTAGCAGGCACCTCTGAGCTAGGTTAGGGAGCTTCCAGATCCAAGTACTCCCTTAGGGTATATAAAGGTAACTCAGGTATCAGACACCCGATAACTCTCTACTCCAGCACTTTTACACTGATACAATTCCCCAGGCACTCAAATCCAGTGCAGGGCCATTTGTCAGAGACAGACAAGACCTGCCACTGGCAAAAAAAGGTAATTTGAGATACTAAAAGCAAAAGGAATGACTTAGGATCCAGAAGCAAAACCTGGGCAACTGATGCACAAATGCCCTTCAACATGCCCAACCCCCCATTCTCTCTAAAGAAAGCAACCAACCCATATTTTATGATTGTGGGAAGAAATATTAACATAGGAATTGATTTTCCAACTTGGGTAATTGAAAATGTCACCTAATTTTTTCCTGTTACGGCTGTTAATTCTGCCCTGTTTCTGTTTATTCAGAAACATTTACTTTGCATCATGAATCAACAAGATACAGAATGCTGTAGTTGGGCACAAAAGCCTGAAAAGATCTCCTAAATTGGATCACTGATGGGACAGCAGGTTAAGATTAGAAAACAGACAGAAAGAGAGATAAATTCCTTTCTCATATTGCATGTCCTTTAGAAAGGGCAGACTGGAAACAAATACCCTCAAGTTCAGAAAGTTTTAAAACTGTATTTCAGCTTTGCATCACTTCTGCATTTGCTTAATTCTGCAGGTACAAACCTTAACTCTAAATTTACTGATCCCTTCAGTCTCATAGCTTATAAAAATACTCTTTAAGCTTTTAATCTCAAGGGCATACTATTTCATGAGGGCAGAAGTGTTTTCATAACAAAAACAAAGCGGGGTGGGCAGCTTTTTGCTTCAGCTGAAGAGGTGCTCAGCAAAATTTCATGCTCATGAAGAAATCACCAGTTCTTCCAACCCTTTACCTGTAAATCAAAATGATCAACCCAAAAAGTGCATTTCCAGGCAACTGTGCTTGCAGAGAAAAACTGTGGTGAGGGGAATTCCCAAAGACAATCCCTCCCCCACAAAGTCACATAGATGACAACAACTTTTTTTTTTTAACCCGATTTTAAAATGCGCTGGTGTTTTTGCCAAATTAATTATCAGACTGCTTGGCATTACAGAGTCTACTGGAATTACTTTGAATAATTACATTAGTTACTAAAAATCCAATTTGCCCTTTCTCCACTACTCACGTCCTCAACTTCACGTGTGCCAAACAGAGCAATGAGAATACAATAACTGATTAAACTTTTTCATCTTATGCCAAAGCAATTCTGCAGCATTTGCTTTGCTAATGCTTCGGGGAAATTGTGTTTCTAAAAATTTCTATTTGGAGTTTTAAAGCATGAAAAAAAATATCTGGTATAATGGAAAATGTTCCTTCAAGCTCAATTAAGTGTGAAAGTGCAAGTTTAGAAAATGGAATATATACTCTCATAATTGTTGGCACAACACATGGATTTATGATGTTTTTCTGTGGTATGTTATTTGAAGACAGACTTTTTCTTAAGCTTACTTCAAAACCAAGCTAATTTAGGCTGTGTTTACAGAGACCTGCTGGGGTAGAAGCAAATTTAAACAAAAATCTGCCGATTGCAAAGCATTCTTTGCACCATCTGGTTTCCCATTCACTTTCCTTAAATTATTTATAGCTCAATGTGATAGAGCTAAAGAGTTAGAAGAGTACCATTAATTTTAAAGCTGAGATTAAGCTAGTGAAGTTTCAATAGTAGTTTTCTTCAACAATTTAGAGAAGACAGAACAGCTCTGCACTTATCAAGTGCACTTTGAATACAGTGCAATCACAGCAGGGGGGAAATAGGGGGAAGCATTCTAAAACTGTCCTCCCTTGCAATTGTATAATTCAGAGATGATCCTCAAGAAGTCAGCTGAATTTCTTCCCTGGAAAACCAAAATAAAGGAAAAAAGTAACAGAACCCCAAGCACGAACAGTTCAGCAGTTTGGAGCACAGTAACAACAAACCAGGAAGCCCCAGAAATAAACAGGTACACTGCCATCAAAGAATATGAATATTTTATGTTAAGTTTTAAGGTTTGAAAGATATCAAAGTAAGGCTTCTGTATAATTAGGAATGTCATCCTTGTGATCAATTGCAGTCTTTTTTTTTTTTTAATTAAAGTTAGCAGGGAACTATGGAAAAAAAAGAGGAAATTAATCTATTAGATTTGAAAGAATCCATAATAAACAATTTTCTAAAGACTACAAGATATGGAAAATATGCATGTTCTCAGAAGGGAAAACTACTTTTCCTTTTTCCCATCTAACAGTCACTTTTCTTCCAACGCACTTTTGGATTTTTGGGGGGAGGGAATGGGAGGTGTCCCTCTAAAGTGTTTGTAAATTCACCAAATGTCAAGTTGGGTGTTTTTCCCCCCTTATGACAAGCACTTTTAGTCACTTTTACCATATCACCACATTACACTGACCAATGAAGAAAATCAGTGCTTCAGATGGAAAACACCTTATTATTATTTAATGGAAAAATATTAATATTAATACAATTGAAGCTAAGCAGACTGGCAGGAGCTGCTTGTTCATGTTCCAAAGTGCAGTTTTAAAACATCTATCTTTTTTACTCATGTATTTTGGATTGCAACAAGGCACTTAGGACTGCATGGACCCACCTTGCTTTAAACTAAACTCCCCAAATGTTTCAGCTTCCTACAAACTCTTGAGTATCTTGAAATATGCAGAACTTTTCAGTTAAAAAAAAAAAAAAAAAAAAGAAAGATGAAATGTTTACTATCTCAATATTTTTAGGTATTATAAATTTTGATAACTTACAAAGATTGCAAATCAAAGCAAACAGCCAGGCATATCAACCTGAGTGCTTATTTAACCTTGATACATTCCAGAGATATCTCAGGTGAGATACACATGCCTTTTCAGACCCCTATTTCTAACGGGCTACAATCTGCCCAGTTCTTTATGTAGCATGAGAGGCACTCAATAAAAATAAGAAATGGAAGTATGCAGATACCAAGAAATAACAATTCTTGAAGTTATCATTACTTTTATAAAACTAACCATTTGGGGCCAAACATACCATGCTGACTGTGCTCCATGATGAATGGGCTCTCAAGCTCTTCATGTTTTATTTCAGATGAAATTTTCTAACAGAGACTTGGTGTTTGCCAGGAAGGTGAATCTTGTGCTAGGAATACTCATGCCTGCAGAAGTTCCCCATTTTGACCAACTTGTAAACCTCTGGAAAACAATGGTTGATTCACATACAGCAGGAACTTGCAAAAAGGTTTTTGATCACCACTTGGACAGCTTCTAGTTTCAACCAGCTTTTTCGCACTGATAAGACTGCATTCCTACAGCTAGAAAGTAACATGGTATTTTCTACCCACTCACATCTCCCACTCGTGATCACTACTTCTTCCATATCAGGAAAGGAAGCTGAAGTTAAATGACAGAATTATCACAGATTGGTTTGGGTTGGAAGGGACCTTAAAGATCATTCAGTTCCAATCCCCCTGCCATGGGTAGAGATACCTTCCATTAACCAGGTCACTCAAAGCCCCGTTCAGCCTGGACTTGAAC